CCCCAGGCAACCACTGGTCTGCATTGTGTTCCTAAAGATTAGTTTGCATTTTCTAGAATTTTATATATGTGGAATCATAAGGTATATTCTCAATTTTTTGTCTCTATTTCTTCACTCAGAATATTATTTTGAGATTCTTCTATGTTGCATGTAACAACAGTTCATTCCCTTTTATTGCTGAGTAGTATTCCATTGTATAAATATATCATTCTTTATCTATTCACCTGTTGATGGACATTTGAGTTGTTTCCAATTTGAGATTGTTAAAAATAAAGCTGCTATGAACATTCATGCACAGATCTTTGTAGGAACACATGCTTCCTTTTCTTGGGGAAATACTTAGAATGAAATGGCTAAATCATATGTTGGTGTCTAACTTTTTAAGAAACTGCCAAACTCTCTTCCAAAGTGGTGGTATCATTTTACATTCCTACCAGGAGTGTATCAGAGTTCCAATTCTTCCACATCCTCAACAACACTTTTTATTTTAGCCATTCTAATAGATGTGTATACAGTTTCTTGTATATGGATATCCACTTGTTCCATCATGGTTTTACTTTGCATTTCCCTAAAGACTAATGAGGTTAATAAAAAATGAGCTCTTTTCATGTGCTTATTTGCTGTTGGGTATTTTCTTAGTGAAGTGACTGTTCAAATCTATTGCCCATTTTTTAATTGAGATTTTTGTTTTCTCAGTATTGAGTTTTGCGAGTTCATTATAGTATTCTTGATACAAATCCTTTATTACATTCTTTGCAAATATTTCTCCCAGTCTGTGGCTTGTCTTTTCTTTCTTTTAGCAATGTATTTTGAAGAACAGAAGTTTTAAAATTTTGATTAAGTCCAATTTATCAATCTGTTCATTTATGGATTGTGTTGTCACACAATTTATGGATTGGTGTCACATCTAAGAAATCTGTGTCTAACTCAGAGTCACAAAAATTTTCTTGTTTTCTTCTAGAAGTTTTATAGTAATTTTAGGTTTTACATTTAGGTCTGATCAATTTTGAGTTAATTTTTGTATACAGTGTGAGATATAAATCGAAATTCATATTTTTGTACATGAATATCCAGTTCTTCCAGCACTGTGTACTGAAAAAAAAAATTTTTTTTTTTTACATTTGCACTTTGTCAAAAATCTGTTGTCCTTATATATGTGGGTCTATTTCTGGACTCTGTATTCTGTTGCATTGACTTGTCTATTTTTATACTTATACCACTCTGTTTTGATTAAGGTAGATTTATAATAAGTCTTGAAATCAGGTAGTGTCAGCCCTCCAACTTTGTTCTTTTTGTCGAAGTTAATTGTTTTGGCTATTCTAGATCTTTTGCATTTCTGTATAAATTTTAGAATCAGCTTGTCAGTTTCTTTTTTAAAAAAAAAAAAGCCTACTAGGATTTTGATTTGGATTGTGTTGAACCTATGGATCAATTTGGGGAGAACTAACATCTTAACAATATGAACCCATGAACCAGGTAAATCTCTCCAATTATTTAAGTCGTCTTTGATTCCTCTCAGCAATATTTGCAGTTTTCAGTGTACAGGTCTTTCATGCCTTTTGTCAGATTTATTAAGTGTTTCATATTTTCTATGCTATTGTAAATGCTATTATTTTTTGCATTTCCATTTTCAGTTGTTTGTTGCTAGAATATAGAAATATAAATGATTGTGGTACATTGATTTTGAATCCTGCACTCTTGCTAAACTCACTTATTAGTTCTAGTAGCTTTTTATAGATTCCACCAACTGAAAGATGGATGAATTATGTTTTATTTCTCCCTTTCCAATCTTTTTTTTTTTAATTTTTTTTTTAATTTATTTTTTCCCCCCAAAGCCCCAGTAGATAGTTGTATGTCACAGTTGCACATCCTTCTAGTTGCTGTATGTGGGACGCGGCCTCAGCATGGCCAGAGAAGCGGTGTGTCAGTGCACGCCCGGGATCCGAACCCCGGGCCGCCAGCATCGGAGCGCGCGCACTTAACCGCTAAGCCACCGGGCCGGCCCTCTCCCTTTCCAATCTTAATGTGTTTTCTTTCTTTTCTTGCCTGATTACACTGGTCAGAACCTCCAATGTTGAAGAAAAGTTGTAAGAGCAGACATTCTTGTGTTGTTCCTGATCTTAAGGGGAAAGCATGAAGTCTTTCACCAGTAGGTATCAGGTTATCTGTAGGTTTTTTGTAGACGCCCTTTTTCTGGTTGAAGAGGTACCCTTCCATTCCTAATTTGCTGAGAGTTTTTAAAATCAGGAATGAATATTGATTTTATCAGATGTGTTTTCTACATCTATTGAGATGATCAGTTTTTCTTTTTAAAAAAGTTTAATACGGGGGGCCGGCCCTGTGGCTTAGCGGTTAAGTGCGCGCGCTCCACTACTGGCAGCCCGGGTTCGGATCCTGGGAGCGCACCCATGCACCACTTCTCTGGTCATGCTGAAGCCGCGTCCCACATACAGCAACTAGCAGGATGTACAACTATGACATACAGCTGTCTACTGGGGCTTTGGGGAAGAAAAAAAGGAGGAGGATTGGCAATGGATGTTAGCTCAGAGCCGGTCTTCCTCAGCAAAAAGAGGAGGATTAGCACGGATGTTAGCTCAGGGCTGATCTCCCTCACAAAAAAAAAAAAAAAAAAACTTAAAAAAAAAGTTTAATACGGTGAATTACATTGATTTTTGAAGGTTAAACCAATCCTGTATTTTGGGGATAAACCCACTCAATAATATTATCCTTATTTATTGTTAGATTTGATTTGATAAAATTTTTAGAATTTTTACATCTATATTCATAAGGGAAACTAGCCTGAGTTTTCTTTTCCTGTAATGTCTTGTGTGGTATGGGTATCAAGGTAATAATGCTGGCCTCAAGGAGCAAGCTGGGAAGTATTCCCTTCTCTTCACTTTTCTGGAAGAGTTTGTGTATAACTGGTATTATTTTTTTCCTCAGCGTTTGGAAGGATTCGCCAATGAAGCCCTGCGGACCAGAAGTTTTCTTTGTGGGAATGTTTTAAACGACTAATTCAATTTTTTAAAATAGATATTTAACCATTCAGGTTATCTGTTCTTCCTGAGTGAGCTTTGGTAGTTTATGTCTTTCAAGGAATCTGGCCATTTCATCCAAGTTGTTGAATTTTTTTTGCCTAAACTTGTTTATAATATTCCCTTATTATCCTTTAAATATCTGTAGAACTTGTAATGATATCACCTCTCTCAATCCTGATATTGGTCTTCCTGATGTGTGTCTTGTCTCTCACTTTCTTTTTTCCTGACCAGTCTGGCTAAAGGTTTATTAATTTTACTGATCTCAACCGGGTTTTGATTATATAGATATTCCCAATTGATTTTTGTTTTCCATTTCATTGATTTCCACTTTGATCTTTATTATTATTTTGTTTCTTTTGCTTCTTTGTGTTTAATTTGCTCTTCTTTTCTAGTTTCTTAAGGTGGAAGTTGAGGTCATTGATTTGAGACTTTTTGTATTTTCTAATATAGGCATTTCATTTACATAAAATTTGATATGTTGTATTTTTAATTTCCTGCAGTTCAAAAAACTTTCTGATTTCACTTTTGATTCCTTCTTTAATCAATGGGTTATATAGAAGCTGTTCTTTTGTTTCCAAATATTTGTGGATTTTCCAGGTAGCTTTCTGTTATTGATTTCTAATATAATTCCATTGTGGTCAAAGAACATGCTTTGCATGACTTGAATCCCTTAAAATGTATTGAGACATGTTTTATGGTGTAAAACAGAGGTAGGCATACTTTTTCTCTAAAGGGTCAGATAGTAAATATTTTAAGCTTTGTGGGCCACATACAGTCTCTATCACAAATTTTCTTTCTTGTTTTAGTAACTTTTCAAAATGTGAAAACCATTCTTAGTTCATAAACCATACAAAACCAGGCCAGATTTGGCCCCAGGGCCATAGTTTGCTGACCCGTGGCCTAGAATATGGTCTCTGGGTAAATGTTTCATGTACACCTTGAAGAGAATATGTATTATACTATTTGTGGAGTGTTCTAGAAAAGTCAATTAGGTAATATTGGTGGATAGTGTTCAGTTTACTATATCCTTGCTAAGTTTCAAGTTGTTCTAGCAATCATTGAAGGAGAGGTATTAAAAGCTCGACTATAATTGTAAATTTGTCTGTTTCTCCTCACAGTTCTACCAGTTTTTGCTTCACATATTTGAACCTCTTCTTATGTGGGGCATAAACATTTAGGATTGTTATATCCTGCTGATTAAATGTCCCCTTTATTATTATGAAATGACCTTCTTTATCTCTGGTAATATTCTTCGCTCTGAAATCTTGGTTTGTTTCTACTATGTTGATATAGCCATACTAGTTTTCTTTTGACTAGTGTCAGCATCAGCATGGTATATCTTTTTCCATCCTTTCATTCTTAACATTTTTGTGTCTTTGTATGTAAAGTGTACTGGGTCTTGCTTTCTATCTAATGTGGCAATCTCTGCCTTTGAATAAGGATTTTTAGATAATTTAAAATTAATGTGATTATTGATGCGATTAGATTTAAGTCTATCATCTTGCTATTTTCTATTTGTTCTATGTGTTCCATCTGTTCCTTGTTCCTTTTTCTGCCTTCTTTTGGATGGAGTATTTTTTTATGATTCCATTTTTTTTCCTTTGTTGGCTTATTAGCTACAACTGTTTTGTTGTTCTGCTGGTTGCATCAGGGTTTCTAGTCTACATATTTAACTTATCACAGTCTACTTTCAAGAGCTATTACACCACTTCACATATAGCAAAAGAATCTTACAATATCATACTTCTATTTTTCCCCTCCTGGCCTTTATGTTATTGTTGTCATATATTTTACTTATACATGTTGTAAACACCATAATATATTGTTATTATTTTTAAATTTGATTATCTTAAAAGAGAATTAAATAGAAAAAAAAAAAAAAAACTTACACATTTACCAATGTAGCTTTTCCAGGGCTCATCATTCCTTTGTGTAGATTTGTATTTCCAAATGGTATCATTTCCCTTCTGTCTGAAGGACTTTCTTCAACATTTCTTATAGTGCTTTCTGTTGGCAATGATACTGAATTTTCACTCTGTGACACTCTCAGGTTCAAAGTGGGTAAGCATCAATTAATCTACTCCCTGCCATACACTACTATAAATAGCCTTGGCTAAACTGTAGAAAAGAAAACTGAAAAGGAACATATCATACAACCATGAAATACCCTAGAACTTTGCCTCTAAAAGTCCAGCTTGGGGCAAGAGAAATTTGTGGTATGCCAGGGTGTTAAAAGCCACTGAATAAACATGGGGCATCTTCTTAGATATCAATTCTACCCAGATATTTTGAAAAAGTGTATAAGCATCATATTCATACTCAACATGGGACTATTATGGTGTATAATGCAACATTTATATTAAATTTATGACAAAAAATGAAACTAAAGAAAATCCTAGCTTGGGACCAAACTTCTAGGGCACTTATTCATTCTTCTCTGCTATTATCCACACTTTTGTGAAAGTTTGAGGAGCAGTGACCTTGATGATTATTCATGATTTTTTAAAGCCTCTCCTAAAATGGGATGCTGTCAACAAATATAGATTATTCATAGAGGTTTTTATTTAATTTGAATATGCATTTCTGAATTGACCACTATATCCTGTTATTCAGTTCGTGAATCATTTTTTATTGTGGTCATGAAAAGTATACTTGATTCCAAGTTTTTAAAACACCGATCATTATTCCCACGAAGAAGGACTTTTACTTACCAGTTCTCACTTTTGTGGCTGTCGGTGTGCCTGCATCAGTCAGTACCTGCAACACTGTCCAATTTTCTGATTCCAATCCAGGATAGAATAAGAATGCACATGAACAAGCCTGTTAGAAATAGGCCTAAAATAAAGATAAACAGGCTCGCTATGAAGACCCTACCAAAAAATCCACTTCTAAGACTGCATCCTAAGGAAATAAGTAAGGCAAAAATTTAACTTAACTAAAATCTAATCATACTATTAGCTTTTTCCTTTTACTAGTAAATTGGTTAGAATCAATAAATACCCCCAAATAAGAAACTGCTAAAATTAATGGTAACATCCTTATATTCTATAATAGAATACTTATTCAGCCATTAAAGTATATTATATAGCTGAATATTTATTGCTAGGAAATTAGGAACAACAAACAGGTATGAAAATTTAATAATGGGGTTAACAGTGGTTATTTCTGGGTATGGGATTATTGATTTTTTCCTACATCTTGCTCATTTGTATTTTCTTTAATATCAATTGCTTGTAAAAAGAAAAACCCAAAGTTCTCGGAAATACTTATTCACCATGAATAAATACGTATTCAAAATGATGGGGTCATCATTTGTTTATTCATTAATTCAGCAAATATTTACAGCATTAAAGAAGACACAGTCCTCGCCCTCAGAACTCTTAATTTGAGCAAAAGGGGCATGATCAACAGTCTTGGTAATTTTTTATTCCTCTCTTTCATTCTCATTACTTAATTGCCCAGTCGTTCTCTCCCTTATTCATTGAGGACTTTGGCACTTGGCTTCTAGTATCTACCTCCCCTACATTTTCTGCCATCGTGTGCCACTTCAGTGTCCATAGGGACAACCCATCCAACAGCCCTGAACTCTGACTCCACCAGCTTACAGCCACTTCATTCAGCAGTCCACACCCAGAGCCACACTCTCAACCTTCTGATCACCAGAAAATTGTTCCACAGCCTTAGACTCCAATATATGGATCTCTGACGACAACCACTTATCATTCCAGGTTTTTTTTTCACTCCATTACTCCCTAAACACCTGCTTTCTAACCTTATTTTAACCTCCATTCCTCAACTATTCCCTTTTCTTTCAAACCACAATCTCCCACACAGCTTCATATCTTTTCCTATCCAGCCTAGATTCCCAGGTACATCCGTCTCTCCTGCTAATAACCTTGCTCCCTGTTTAATTCCCTCTCCCATTCCTTAGAGCATATATTTTATAACATCTTACTTGCTACTTCACCTATGCCCTTATCTCTTTTATGTCTCCTTTATCAGAAAAGAAAAAACTATCAGCTGTGAACCTCCCTCACTGAGTCATTCTAGACATTTCCCTCTTCTCTATCCTAACCATTACTTCCCTAGTCCAAAATCTCATTATTTCCCTCCATGACTGTAAAACCATACAAAAATATTTCCGTTTAAAAAAATAATAGGGGCCAGCCCCGTGGCATAGCAGTTAGTGTGCGCGCTCCGCTGCTGGCAGCCCGGGTTCGGATCCCGGGCATGCACCGATGCACCACTTGTCAGGCCATGCTGTGGCGGTGGCCCATATAAAGTAGAGGAAGATGGGCATGGATGTTATCCCAGGGCCAGTCTTCCTCAGCAAAAAGAGGGGGATCAGCATGAATGTTAGCTCAGAGCTGATCTTCCCCCAAAAAATAAATAAATAAAAAAAATATTTAAAGCACATTTCACAACATTCCTGCTAGTATTGAAAGTATGAAATGACAACCATGCTACCTTATTAGGTAAGGTATACATACAAACATACACAGAAACATATCTAGCTTGCACTATTCCCGGAGGTCAGAAACCTTGTTTATACCCCCATACCTAATAGTGTTTAGCATACAGCAGTTGCTTAACTATCTGTTCACTTCTGAATAAAGTAAATGTGGCATATTTAAAGATGCCCATAATAATTATTAAGCTGCATGTTAAATGGTTCAATAAATAATACGATTCATATTAATTTTATATAACAAAATACAATTTTTACACCTTCTTAGTTCACCAGAATTTCTTTAAAGCACACACCATGCACACACCTACACCGCATCAAGAATTAGATTCCCTATAAACTGAGATTTCCTTTCACTGCTATCTATTGTCATAGACAATACTTAACCTATCTATGCTCCCTCAGTTTCTACCCTTTCACCCTTAGAGCATGAATAGTGTGACCTCAGTGGATCACAGGGATCCCAGTGCCTTCCTAAGTCTCCTACTTTGCTCCCTGATGCCTGAAAGATGGAACCTTCTATTCCCACAAGATACAAACTACAATTTTCCTGAAGAAGAGAAACAAAGTACAGTATTAATTAATACTAAATGAATGAAATTCAATAATACTAATACAGTATGTATACAAAAGACAAATACAGAGCCTTCCTTTGTCAACTGGGAAGGAAGGAAGAAAGTGATATATTGTTAAGGGGCCTTCAAAAGCAACATCTTCCAATCATTTCTGATTTTTTTTTAAATTTTCTTTAATGTACATGTATTTTATAATTAGGGGATAAATGTTCAAAAGCAAGTCTGTAAGTCTAGTTTTAAGAACAAATAAAAGTTATATAAAAATGTATTTTACATCAAGTGACTTAAAAGCAGCTTTGAACTTTATCACAGTTAACAACCGTATGTACTAATATTTTTTACATCTAAAGGATTAAACTTTAGGAATTTCAATTTTATATAAAAGGAAAGGAAATCTGAGTATAAATAAAGGTAGATGGGGGGATCATTAGATTTAGTCACATGCTACAAGAATTTCTTGTGAGGAAAAGGTTTTGTACATACCATACTATATTAGTAGTTTTGCAGTTTATTAAAAGTATTGCAGTTAAGTCATATCAGCTTTGGGTTATTTTGACAATGGCATAAACATCTAATTGTAAAAAAATACTAGGCTTATAAAAATATATCCTCCAAAAGGGGAAAAAAGTTCTTTGATTAGTATGTATGACACTTCTCTACATGGAAAGCTGGAATGAATTTAATCTTCTGTGTCACATCAAACCTCTTATTTTTCTTTTTTTTTTTTTTTAAAGATTTTATTTATTTATTTTTTCCCCCCAAAGCCCCAGTAGATAGTTGTATGTCATAGCTGCACATCCTTCCAGTTGCTGTATGTGGGACTCGGCCCCAGGATGAACGGAGAAGTGGTGCCTCGGTGCGCACCCGGGATCCGAACCCGGGCCGCCAGCATCGGAGTGCGTGCACTTGACCACCAAGCCACAGGGCCGGCCCCTCTTATTTTTCTTTTAAGAGTTTCTTTAAAATTAGGTATATGGTCTGTATATACCATCCTGAGTTCACTGGGTCAAAAGTTAACAGTATGGGGTCTTCAAGTAAATTAAATGTTAACAGCAAAAATTAAAGGACTTAAATTAAAAACATAGGGCCTAATCCTATGATGAAGAAAAGTAAGGAAAAAGTGTTCCCACAAGAGCTGTAAACTGTTCACCTATTTAAAATAAATTACTTCTTCAGAGCTGCCTTAAAAAGTTAATTTGTTTTAAACACGTAAGCATTTCTTTGCCAAAAGAGAATGTGCTGTATTTTATTTTCCTTATTTCCCTATAGATTTGTTCTACAAGAAATAATTTTTTACATATTAAGCATAGAAATGTAACAGGAGGCTCAACTGTCACAGAGAACTGCTCACACATCCTCAGTCATGTTACCCAGAGACCAGAGGGTCTCAATTTTACTTCTGTTTACTAAAAATAAATAAGAAATGAATGTTAATAGATTCCTGCTTCCCTGTCCTCCTCAACTTCCAGGACAAGGCTTATCCCAAGTCAATCGAGTCTCTGAGAAAGTCATGAGTTGTAATTTTTAAAAGTTCTTTACTCAATGTAAAGTTTATTTTATTAAAACCCTCCAATTTTCTTTTGATAAAAGGTCAAGACTAGATCCATTTCTATTATTTACCCGTCCTTTTTATTATCCTAAATTGCTCCCCAAGTTCAAACATTTTAAAGGTTAGGACAAAAAGTTAACCAACCCTTGATATATTTCAGCCCATATTTGGTATATGATTTACCCCATGTATATGACATTCTGGGTGTCACTTTTTGAGAGGGGCCCTGTTAAACTGGAGAATAATCAGAAGGAAGCTAAGATGGTGAAGGGTTTAAAATCATAAAGTGAAACTAAGGATGTTTGGAGTGTGGGGTTCAGTTGTCTTCATGGTGGAAGATAATAGTGGTCATATTTAAAGGATTATCACCTGTAGGTGGGAATGAATTTGTTCTCAGTAGCTCCAGAGGGCCCTTTGACAATGGGTGGCTGTTACAAAGAGGCATGTTTTAACTATTACAATTCTATGATTCCAAACCTGAATACGCTAAATTTCCTTTACTAAGAAAGTTTACATTATTTTCAAAACAATGTTTCAAAACATTGTATTTAATATTTCATCTAAAGCCAGCATTTTCACACTAATTTTGTAGAATGTAGATAACTGAAACAAATAGGTTTATCCCTTTCCAGGTATCCTTGTTAGTAACAGAGGAAAAAAAAGTTCATACTTGGGGCCGGCCCCATGGCTTAGCAGTTAAGTGCGTGCGCTCCGCTGCTGGCGGCCCGGCTTTGGATCCCGGGCGACGCACTGCTTCTGCGGCCATGCTGAGGCCACGTCCCACATACAGCAACTAGAAGGATGTGCAGCTATGACATACAACTATCTACTGGGGCTTTGGGGGGGGGGGGAGTTCATACTTATTCAGTAAATATTAACCATTAACTGTAAGTGAATTTTACTTCTGTCCTATAATCTGTGGCCAAGAATACGGAAGCAAAGCAATTCTTCATATAGGGAAAAAACCTTATACCTCCATAATCTTAACAGAATCAGAGTTGAAAATTCTATATATGAATCTAACACATCCAGAAATTGGAGCTGTAAATCATGCAAAGTAAATTTCCCAGAACAGAAGTACATTTCCTGATGCATGTATAAATTTTATCCTATGTGACTAATATGGATATACTTTAAAATTTGTAAAGAGTCATCCAAAATATTTATAGATAAAAAGTACTTATATTGATATTTCCTCAAAAGAATCTACACAGCTGGAGAATAAATGTTTCTAAACAGTATG